TGAAAAAATATGGCAAGAGATTACACAAACGAGAGCGTATGCATCACCATGCCGCAGAGGGTTCAATAAATGGGCACAAGTGACTAGCGCTAGGCGTTCTTGCCGGTGACTTCCGATAGGTGTGTTGTAGAATCTGCACGGTTGAAGACCTGCGCGTCTCCCACACGTGAAAGATTCCCACCTTCAGGTGATCGCGGACTGTGCCTTTAAAAAGGGCTTGGGCTAATTCCCTTAGAAAGACATTTCTGTTTTTGTCAACGTACTGCGCAATGTAATTAGGTTGAAGTGAAAGCCTTGTCACTGTTGCGACTTTTTTATTTTTCATTTCCTAGCTCAACACAGAAATTAGGTGTATTTGCTATAGTTAGCCACTACAGTGATCGTGTAATAAAGAGGTCAGCGATCACCCTTTCTCAGAAGTGGGGAGACTGCGAGTCAAACAAGTTGGCGAACTCTCGATTAGTGTTATTAAATCTGGTGACAGCTTCCTCAACTAGAAGAGCTCTTCGAGCCTTGTTCCTCAATTATTTTTAGACTCCATAGGTATATGGGATCTCGCGCCATCACGGACGAGGTCCCTCGAGACTAGTCTCGGCCTTTTTTACCCACAGTTTCCACGGGTCTCGGGAGTGGAGCGGCACAGACGTAGCGGTGGTCGTGTGTCCTTACAGGGGCAGCTCGTTGTGCAGCATTCCCCTCGCGTCCCAAGAGCAGCACAGGAGAACCGTCTGGAGTCCATACCCAGTCTGGCCTGCTAACATGGGTCTTCTGCTTGAGATAGGCACACGGTACTCTGTGGATTGTAATCTAGAGAACTTGCCTCTCATCTCCACTAACGAGTCTCCCAAAAATTCCTTCTCATGAAAGCGGAGGAGATGAGACTGATAAGTGGGTCCCCGGGTGCATCGTGTGTTATCCGTGAAGGTATTAGGTATCCACTGAGCCAGCACTTTTCGATAGCCGAGGGCTCAGGCAGTTGACGGCTGTCAGTTAGGTACCCGGTGTTGTCGCAAGACTGCGGGTGGTAGCATCCAGATCCTCCTTGATAGCTTGAGAATTGTGAGGTCTTCCACTCTCGGGTACGCAAAGACAAACTGGTCGGGGGGGGGGGGTCCGGACAGTCCTCATGGTAGTAGTGCCCTCCCCCAATCACTGCTGATGTTGCAGACAGCTGCAGTCGTTTTTTTTCCTTTCGTCAGCTGCGAACTTCTGCTACTAATCTCTCATTATTTCATCGATCATCCTTTAATGCTCCTTCTTTAAGGTCACATCTTCTAGCGATGCCTTTTTCACACCAACTCTCCTAGAATAACACTTGCTTTCAACTATATGTTGCCATCTGGTGTTCGCGCGCACAGCGATCGCGGTATCTATCTAATGGAGGGCCTATCCACCGGACTTATCCTATACTAAGATTTTCATTTTGGGACATTTTGGGACAACTGTAAACATGTCTTCGCTCAATAAAAGACGAGGTGACAGTTATCTCCGATCGAATTAGTAGTTTCGAACTACCCATCTAGGTTATGTTCAAGAAACGAAGTACACAGAGAGCCTACCGCTTCCCAGGGATTGAGGTTTACCTAAGACGTGCAACCAGAATGCTTCCTGACTTCTTCGCCTTGTCTTGTCAAACATAACATTGAGAGTAGTAATGGTTACGAACTTGAATGATGGACATATGTCTGGTTTGGCCCAACGTTTTTACTGAACCTTTGTCTTTAGAGGACTGAACATGTTTTCAGTTTTGCATCACATTCTACACCAGCTAGGGCCCCGTCACCGCAAGCGCTTCCGACATCATGTCCGGTACCCACCATGAAGACTTCACTGTTGTTACTTTTAGAACTTTTAGTCGATGAACTTTCCCGGAGAGTTGATGCATCGATCGAAAGTGCGATCTTAACCGCTAGTTGCGGTTGAGATCGCTCACTACGGGAAACTATAGCTCCAATCGATCCCGCCCACAGCAGATCTAGATATCAAGTCATGCTTGTTTTGACAAACAATCCTGTCATAGAGGTGCATTGCTAACAGGGATTTTCGCTCCAATTATTCAAGAGAAAAGGAAAACACCTCCGTTCGTATTTGGACTGGACTGCTCCTTTGGACTGGCTTGGCTACTTGTGACATACGGTGTTCGTTGAACGTGAAGTTCTGAGTCGTGATGTGCAAACGCACAAAATACAGCTCGAGGACAGTATCCGTGCTGAAATGGACATTTGGATTAGATCACTTTTATCTCGATTCATGACCCACGTTGTCCAAACGCACAATATCGCACCTATCAGTGGCAGGTTGAAGCTTCAAAAGTTATTTCAGCGAAGTACTCAACAGAAACATATACGGAAATGAAATGAAATTAAATGGTCGAACGAGTGCGCAAAGTGAGGCGTACAAGGTAGGGTAACAAAGAAGACTCCACGCGCAGGCGACAACAATATGTGGAAAAAGAACGAGCTGTCCTACAGTCGTCATCTGGACAGTTGATTACGGGTCGAAGGGTCGCAGCGCGGCTGCGGCGCATGACGACTGCGGCGATCAGCTGTTTCCGGCCTGGTTTAGCAATTTTCTCCATAATTTTCACTGTGATTTCTATTTTTTTCAAGGTAAGTCGTTTTTTGTTCTTATGATGTGTATTAATATGAAGACTCTTTTTTGCTCTCTTAATGAAGAGTTTTTGCAATTTTTTCAGGTATTTGTTTGACTGCTGGTTTTATAAAAGAGGACGGAAGAAGCTGATCACCGCCGGCCTAATCCACTGCCCGGATGACGAGTGTATGTAGGTACAGCTCATTGGTCGCAATCAATCGGGGCAGTGTCAAGAAGCATGGAAAGAGCCGCCCCATAGCGTTTTCACCACTGGTTGCTTTCTTCCAAAATCGAACACAAGCTGATCACTAGAAAAGAAAGCCCGAGGGGGTTTTTCCCCGCCAATTCCTCACATGGGCCATACTGATGCTGACGATGTCAACCATAATTTTACGTAACATTACCAGTGCTTTTTATAAAAAGGAGCTTCTATGAGGATTTACACTAAACCTTCTCAATGAATTTTTAAGGGGGAGAGGAGTGTCTAAAGTGGTTCAAATTTCGTTTCGCAGACGACTTTAAATGGAAACTGAACAAATCACTATTCTCTCTCTGCGCGCCTCAGTCAGGGAAGGGAGGAGTAGCGAATTACAGGATGATAATTCTAAATATTAATTTATAAGGTACAGTTCTGCAGTTTCATTACTTCTGCGATTTTTCTGAGTTTATTTCCCCCTTCCAACACGCAGCAACATTCAACAACAAATGAATATTTGCATCAGTACAGCCGAGAGCATATTGTCATTCATCAGGAGAAGCGCACATGCCGCTGCTGTAGAACTCCGGGGACTTCGATAAAAAACCTATCGAGACATCATTCAATTTAAATACTTTCTAATGTCAAACTGCTCCTTCTGGAAATGGTCGGACAATGAAAGAAATATACGGTAGCCTGTTGACCAGATTTGGTTAATACGGCTGTTGGGCCAGAGCATTCCATCCGCAATATTGCAGTATTTTCTGATTGTGAGTCTACTCTGTAACGTGTGGACACGCACTGCCGTGAAAGAAGATCTTTTCTTGCCTCACACGAAGAGCTCCTTCGTCGCAACCCAAGTCCTTGCAGTAAACATCCTAATAGTAGTGTAAACGTGAGGAGCAGGTGTAAGTCTTATCTAAGATAGAGTTTCCACAGCGTTTTCGTGAACGTTGTGATAACGCTGAAAACACTGAGAACACGTAGCGCGTAGCTGAGAACTTCAGTTAATCCTGGCGACGTATACGCCCCGATCGGCTACAGGACAAGTCGGCTGTACAAGGTAAGATCTTCACGAAAGACGTCAAAATTGTAGGCTGATACGATATAGAGAAGCCCTGGTAACTCTGGAGGTGGGCAGCGTGGAGGGCGTGCTGTGGTGAGGCCTATCACTGTTATCAATAAAGGAACAAACATTGATGCTCAAGCACATTCATTATCACTGCAAATGAGACGGTGTGAAGCGGCGTGCATGGGAGTCAAAGCGCTTTCTGTCGTTGGGGAAAATTTTGCAAACTGCGACCAAACTTCCCTCCCCATCCTATCCAGACGTGTAATTTATCCTGACTTCGTCGACCGTTCCCAGTTTTCCAAAAAATTGCAGTTTTTCCCCGTGAGTGGTCATCGAGCGGAGAGATGGAGGGGAGGGTGCCACAAAAAGCTAAATTCACCTATCGAAAAAGAACTTGTATGGAACGTAGACGCGCCACGGGAACAAACGGAAAAAATTTTTTAAGCGCGGAAAGTTTGTTCAAGGCTATATACAACCTTCCTCCTCTCCCTCTCAAGGGACGAGCAATCACGAGTGTACAACGTCACTGAGTGGAGCACTGCTAGGGTAGTCTTTATCACCAATCGTCGCCCGTCAAGAATGGTAACGACTGCTGGAGTAGACTCTTCTTGCTGCGCTCCAATTCATGCCCCTCTCACGATTGCCTAAATACGACCCCCCCCCCTTGTTCGGGATTCCCCAACAACGATGTGTCCTGCAAAGGCCAAGTGGTCGTGTACGACCGCATTTCTCCTTCAGGTCACTGTCGCATTTGGATTTCAGTTGAGCTAGGACTTTCTAGTTAGTCCGAAGTAGTAACTTTCAGTGAAAGAAGGATGGCGAGTCCCACCCTCTACGTTACACAGAGCAATCGCTTTACGGCCGATAGATGGTTGCCTAATATAAGTAAACCAAAAACGATATAGGATATTAGGACATTGAAAAAGATATAAACATGCTCCAAAATAGCAAGAATACGAGCTGCGATTTGAATGCACGGAATGTAAGGCCCTACGCCATGTTCAAGTGAAGTACACGGCCCTGGGATATGGAGTATTTATCAGTGAATTCTGACTTTGCTCTATTTAATTTTTTATTCCACTCCCTTTTTCTTGTCCTCTTTTTAGCACGCTCCTGGGCGGTTGTTGTTTTTATTTTCGTTTACTTCCGATGTTGTCTCCATTGAAAAGATGTTCCCACCTCAAGCATGTCATTGCATTTTGTGCTCTTGTAAATTTCTGGATGAAACTGCTGTTCGGTTCGAGTATGGCAATACTGACAGGAGTCTCCTGCCTCACAGAGTTCCGGATCCAGCCATTCGTCAACGGTTTTCGCAGCAGGGCAAGGAGTAGACCTGAACTCGAAAAAAGTAGATTCAACATAAGAACCGTGGAACAAAGAGCTGACCTATATTTGCATATGGCAGGAGGTCGTCTTCGGTCTTTTGAGTTGTGGTAGAACGGGCAGGCGTAGCCTTGCCGACAAAGTCGAGCTGGTTTACGGCACTGTTCTGTTTTGTAGCATGACAGCACATGGTCTTGACCTGTGACAAAAGATTCGTAATTATGCTAAATTTCTTGCTCATTTAGCTTTGATCGGCAGCATTGCGTCGAGATTCCTCACCACAAAGAAAACTACGTGAGATCGAAAGTACTTTTATGTACTATTAAGGGCATTTTTAAGTACTACTGTTTCTATTAGGTTGTCCGAAAAGTTCTCAGCGTTTTGTGTTACTATTTTACATTCATTGTTGATTGGAAACTCATTCTCCTTTGCGTCTCAGTAGTACATCCTGAAGACAACTTTTTGCGCTATCTGATGGTATAATTGCGTTTCACCATTGCTTGATAGAACCCTTCCCAAGACTTTCTGAAGCATGTAAGAGAGCAATTCCGACGATATTGTTCTTCAACTACAAATTGGGTCAATCCGCAGTCGAGACAGCTCGACAAATTAACCAGGTGTGGAGGACCAATAGTGTTGGAGAAAGCAAAGTGCGACAATTATTCGACAAATTTCGTTGTGGAGATTTCAGCCTTGAAGATGAACCTCGTAGCGGTCGACTCTAAGCAATACCACCTGACGAGGATCTGAAGGCGTTTGTGAGGCTTACCACACCCAAATAGTTCGAGAGATTGCAGAAAAGCTAGGCGTTGGCAAATCCACGGTTGCGGGATGGTCTGAAACGCATTGGGGAGGTGGAAAAACTCGACAAGTGGGTGCCCCTCAATTGAGTGACCGGCAAAAATTGATACGTTTCGAGGTTTCTTCTTCACTGCTTTTGGCGAACAGAAACGACCCGTTTTTGGACCTGTGATAAAGAGTGGATTACGTATGGTAATAGGAGACGTCCGGACAGTGGTTGGATGCCGATGAACCCCGATGCAATTTCCAAAGCCGAATCCTCACGAAAAAAAGATTATGGTCACAGAGTGGTGATCATCGGCTGGCGTGATAAACTATAACTTTTGTCATCAGGCCAAACCATCACACAGAAACCCTACTGTGAAGGAATCGACGAAATGTACCGAGAATTGTGTCAATGCACCAGCACTTGTCAACAGAAACGGTCCGATTCTTTTGCATGACAACGCCCGCCCCCACGTTTCACAAATCACTATCCATTAATTGAACGAATTGGGGGTTGAAGTTCTACCGTAGCCGCCATATTCTCTAGACCTTTCTCCAACTGACTATCAAGCTTTCAAACATTTCAGAACTTCCTTGCTGGAAAATACTTCATCAATTAGGACCAGGTAAAGAAAGCCGTGGATTCTCGACCACGTCAGTTTTTTTTTCGATGGGGCTTCTGCGACTGCGGTGTCACATTGGCAAAAGTGTGCTGATTCGAACGGTGCTTATTTCGATTGAATCCGATGAGTATTAAGAAAGTTGTGATCGTTCAAATGAGACGCTCACAACGCTGAGAAATATCCGGACAACCCAATATGTTGGCTTTTAGAACAAACTTAACATGAACACTGAAGTGCAACTCAAGAGTTCATTAACAAGCGCCTGAGTGAATGGTGCACCAGCGATAAGCACCGCGTCACACTTACGTAGACCGGATCGCGCCCTAGCTATCCTACTTCCAAAATGCGTCCCAACTTCCAAATCGCCATGGCGGGAAGATAAGAAGACACTCGTTAATTCGGCTAATTCTCCAAATCTCTAAGAGACATTACGGTAGCTTCCACGGTGCTAGAGCAAGATCGGATGTGTTACGCATGAAAAATCAGTACAGCACCATTCCTCTCTTACCCGTAAAGGAAAATAGTATCAGCTGTCATATTTATTTTTGAATGCACGCTGTAATTGAATGCGATCAGCTCGGTCCATAGCAGCTCCACCAGTTCCGCTGCGAAAAAGCGAGTGAAGTGGGCGCCATTGTTTCTTTATTAGCCCAACCCATCTCCACTGTCCTCGCCGTAGCTCTAGTCAGCCGTAATAATAAAAGACCGGCCAGAGGACGTATGCTGTGACATTGTTGTCAATAAAACCAGCTGTGATCAATGGCGGCCACCATATCGACACATACCAAGACCAGGGTGATATCCTACGACCACACATTTGCGAACTCTTCAGACCTTCCAGCAAAAGTGCTCGCTAGAGAGTTTTGTTTGGGGCATTTGTGACTTTTTTCCCATTTTTTTCCTTCACCACTGACTTACTCGGCGTCTTGGCATCGCTATTTGAGGACCACTACCCACAATATCTGATCGCTGGCTTTGCGTCCAATTAGCTCTCAAAAGCCCAGGATCAACCGGTATTATACATTCAGCGTGTTGTAACTGCCATCTCCATGAGGAGTTTTGAACACACCTTCAGAATATATTTCTGCATTGAGCTGGAAACAGTCTAGTCATTTGTAATTTTTTTTCTCCCATTAATCATCACCAACGGGGAGGGGGGGGGGGCGAAGCCAGTCTCGGTCACTTTTCTCGAATAGTATCTGTGGGTCTCTGAAGGGGAGCGACACAAATGGTGGTGGTGACCTTGTGTTATCACGCTCTGCAGCATTCCCCTCGTGTCCCAGAAGTAGCATAGGAGAACCTTTTTCGAGTGCATGCCCGGTTTGGCCTGCTACGGTGGGTCTTTTCCTCATTCACACGGCGCTGTGTGATTGGAATCATGGAATCCGTCTCCCATCTCCATTACCAGTTCCAAGAAACCCCTTTTGACGAGGGCGGAAAAGAGGAGACTGAGCAATTGATGCCCGAGTACACCGTGCCATCCGTCAGGTATGAGTGATCCTTCAAGCCAGTATTCTACAGCCGAAGGCTTACAAGCGATTGACGACTGTCTGTTAGGTACACCCGAGACATGTCATAGGACTTCAGGTAGTGCCTCCGAATCCTCTTTGAGAGCTCCGAGATCGGCGGATTGTTCCACTTCGTGGAGGCGTTTTAACCGAGGTTTGTCCTCGAAGATTGTGTCTCCTATCGTGAGGCGAGTGTACCAGCAGTGGACAGTCGTGATGGTAGTGGGGTCCTTCCACAATACACAGTAGATGTTGCGGACAGCTGTCTCGTATGTTTGTCGTATGTGTTTCCAAGTGATAACTGTGCAGTAGTGATAAGTTGCAAAAAGATCACGTCAATGCTTGATTCAGGAGCAAAATTAAAACTAAAGCACGTTGACTACATTATGAGCCACCGGTGACTCATAGCAGATGCATGTGAAAAAGCGTCACTTCCCACGCGGCGCTTTAACGCTGAACGCCATCGTCGTCAACGTGTAGAAGAAAGAATAAGCTGCACAAGTGACCTTTCAAACTGTACTAGTCTGATGATTTTTCCGCAGTATCGGCTGTGGGTATTCGGCTTATGGACAGTTCAAAATGCAAGAGCAAGAAAAGCGAAGTGAACTGAGACGCTCACTGTGCCATAGCGGATCCTCGATCACGAAGCTGGTCCGGTCACGCCCGTCACCATCAACGGTCGTCGAGAAACCTGCCTCGTGTTGATCGAACTAAAACCCCATTATATTGAAGAACTCGTCATGGTAAGTGGCAATCTAGGACATACCTGTGGTTGTCGCAAATCAGCCGATGAATGCGCGAATGCACAATGAGCTCCATTCTAAATCAAAGTATGTACAGTCGTTCCCATTCAGCTCAGTCGGGGCGTGTCAGCAGTGGGTGAGTTTCGTCGGTGCGCCGACCCCTTTTCCATCGATCGTTGCAACAGGCGTGCAGGCATTGAATGAATGATGAGAAGGGCTAACGCCGCGCCAGAACCCTTGCCCGCTGACACGTCTTTACCGACTCCAAAGACAACGGCTGTATTGCATCGTTGACAGGTTAACGTTTAGTTTCATATTATTAATGTGAGGGTTCCACGGAAAATCCAAATCGAATCACTCTCATTACTAAGCTAGGGAAAGCTAGTGCAATAAACGACTAATTCATCACTAAGCGCTAGCGACAGACTCACTATGAAGGACACAATATGAATGGTGTGAATGGAAACCATGGAAATTTTCTTCCGCAACACAATAGTCTGTGTAAGATCCCATCCCATCCAACACTTTTCCGGCGCCGTCTTCAGCGGCAACCCTTTCTCCATATCAGTAACGGCGAGCCGGCTGGCTAACGTTGAAGTGCAATATATGCTCTTTTCAGGTGGTTGCTTTTGCATAGGATACCACCTCTTACTCTTATCTTCCAGCAAACGCAGTATGACCGAATGGTTTATAGAGAGGGAGCGAGAAGGAGAGAAATCAAGCGAATTCCGCTCAAGACAAAAATTGATGTGTTGATCTATAGTGGAAAGCTCCCTTCAACTGAAGTCGTTTTCTAAGAAAGCAAAAACTTCTGTAAGAATGAGGTGGTTTCTTCAAATCCTCTTTTTCGTATCCAACCCTTTCCTTAAAACTGCAGTAGTTAGTTTTCAAATACCTTAACACATTGCCCACGTGGGTCCGTTGGATGTACACATTGAGCGGTCTTGTAGTAACGCAAATGGTATTTTCGTTCAACATCACCAGAAACTCGATGCAGGTACACACATCTTAAAGAACTGACATTACCTCAGTATAATGACTAATACAAATTATCTAATCACCTTTAATGTTAAGAAATGATACTCACTCGTCACCGTCGGGGCAAATGCCGGTGTTCTCATCATATTTGTCGCAATAAATGTCAGGTGAGTAATTGAAGGTGCCATCTGATTTACGTTGTGGTCTGGATCAATAAATATGATCAAAACTTCGAAAAAGGAGCGTGAAAAAATGTATTCGCAAAACAGAGTTGAGGAGTCGGATGTCGTGAAATAAATGGGAACTATTCAACGGTTTGGTGAAAAAAATAACACACATGGATAAGCTTGATCTCAGTGTTATACAACGCGGAGTTGCATCATAAACCTAACCACAATAAAATGCCCAAAAGCTTCAGAAAGTTTTGCGTGTATTTCTATGCAACAGCATCTTGGCCAAGCGGATTGTGCTCCACAACGGTTAGATAGTGGTTTCTGATGAAGCTCCGGTACAACAAAATGGTACCATTATGGAAGAAATCATATATCTTCCATGTAAATCAAAAAGTAATGAATATTCGGACTTCAAATGAAGAATTTTCGTTATATAAGAAATGAACTCATCTGAAATGAATACTGTTTGAAAGATATGATATAATCGAAAAATCTCTAACCCTAATTTCAAAACAAGAAGATCCTACTATTTGAAGCTACACATTTCTGTCAACGAGAGAATCTTGAGATTAGAAAGAAGGAGTTCAGGAGTTGATGAAGCATTTACAGCTGTGGCTGCACCACTGTGGCGGCGCTGCTCATGAAAGGCGATGGTTGGAAAATGCTCCCAAACACCCTTTTGGTATTAAAGTTGGGGGAACGTTGTACATTCCATACTTCGAGGGGAGGATATGGCTGCGTACTTCAATTGCGTAATAGTTCGGTTTGTTTCCTTAGCCTTCTGAGGTGAGATTGGTACAGATAATTTATTGTGCTAATGTTATGACATTATAGTCCTTTTACTCTTGTTATCTCTTTATCTTCGTTCTTTATCACACTCAGTTCCTAAGGACGTAAGCCGAGTAAATCAATACGCGACTCGGACGCTCAGCCAATCGACGCCTAATTTCCCGCCAATTATGACGAGCACATTGAACGGACCAATGGCGAGCACTTCGGCTCCGCCCCTTCGAGCCGCGTATATAAGGACCGACTATGGCGAAGAAGAGTCAGTCTAACCCTAGCGTGAGCTGGAGACTAGTGTCCTCGGGCGCTACGGTTCGAATAAACAGCTGCATCAATCAGTTGTCGGTTCGCCTTCAACCCACGGGGTGGAGCAGCACCCGTGACTTGGAGGCCGAACCATACTGAATCGTGTCCGCCTGCTAGGCCGCTAAGACCGGCTAAGGCGCGAGTCCTGCCGCTGATAGGCAGCGTACCCTCTGGCTGTAAACAGGAACCACGTGGTAATCCGTGGCGGGGTCTGTTACTGTTGGGGTGGGGAGTGCATACTACATGTAAGCGGGAGGATACGCGGTTCTATTCGAAGGCTCTATACACGTTCGACAGAGAAAGAGCATCAACTATTCCAGATAGTATGATGGCAGAAAAGGTGGAGAAAGAACATCAACTGTTCAGACAATATGATGGCAGAAGAGGTAGGATTAAGTTCAACTGAACTGGAGCAGATGCTCCTGAGTGAGGAGACCACTGCGGATCAGCTGTCGGCAATGGAAGTCGCTGGGGAGCCTGTTGAAGAAGGCTGACAGCCTAACGGCTACAGGCACACAGGTGCGCAATTCAATAAAGGCTATCGCGAAGACATTGAAAAGTCTGCGTGAGCTACCGGCTGAATTAGTGCAAGGAGTTTCGACGAGGTCGACTAAACAGCTCGAGGAAGCGGCAAGCTCAAAGATAAATGAGGAGTGTAGCATTGAGCGGGAGCTGGAGAATCTCAAAGAGCTAGAAGTCAAGGGTCAAGCACTAAAAGCCGTGGTGTCTGAAGCGCTCTCAGTGGTTATGAGCGCTAAGGCGTGGGAAACTCACGCAGCACTAAAGGCGAGAAAGCTAGATAAGCCTGAAAAGAGAAGGCTGGTATCGTGAAGCATTCTAATCCTCTTTTTTTTGAAGGAGCCTCGTCAGCCTGCTGGAGCAGAATGCAGCACAAGCGCTCCGCCGATAGAGTATGAACAACTGAGTATCGGTGATTTCGACAACGTCGAATACATCTGGATTTCGATCCAGTGGCGGCGGCGCAAGGTGAGACCCTTCGCCTAGGCAGAGAGCCTGCATGTCTCAGTGGAAAATTGAGAATACGTACTTGCAGCAAGGAAAGACGACTGGGTGGACGCCGAGGACCAGGGACTCGAGCCAATCGTCGTCGACCCGGTGCCGAAGCCGAGGTGAGTCTTTCCAATTCGATAATGCTATGGGGTCCATATTTGCGGCTATGGCCCTACCCGAAGCGGAGTTGTATAGTGACCCTCAAGGAAAGGGATTTGATGACTTCATCGTGAGGTTCACGATGAAATACCAGTGCCGGTTACGGAATGACCTGCTCACCCGACTGTTGCTCTCTAAACTGCAAGGTTACCCAAAAGCGGTAGCGAAATCTCTAGAGAGGGGAACTTTGAAAGCCTTGTGGAAGCTCTGCGAGCAAAGCTTGCTGTGGACAATTCGACGATGCAGATGAAGGCATATTTGGATCTGAAACACCTCAAGAAACATGGAACTAGTGAGCCAGCTAACCGACTGACCAGAATACCTCCAACTGTTTAACACAAGGGAGATAGCTCCAAAGGAGCAGGCGTATGACATGGTGAAAGCCATGGCACAAAGATGTGAAGGGAGTAAGAAAGTAGCGGCTGCAATGCGTAATGCCGTGGAAGGATACTCGAAAGAGCCAGGACGGCAGATTACGTAAAGTTGATCGCAGTCATGCTACTCGGCAAGTCCAAACCACTGTGAACACATTGGAGGGTGGAAGCAGTAAGCTCGATGTCCGCGATGCGACGGCTAGCGGAGACCCGTCTTAAAGTGTTTCAGTTGTAACAAGCAAGGACATCTGAGAAAGGAATGCACGATAGAAAGAACGTTACTGTTACTGAAAGGTTATCAGATCGGCTCAGCAAGCAGAGCCGGCGAGAATTTTTACCGCGTCCTTGAGGAAATGGATATGTGGAGCAGTATAGGTCAACAACAAGTGCGAATTGGTCGAAACAAACGACCACGGAAGTTCATCTTCTAGGCACTTCACGCAAGGCGTTGTTGGACACTGGCTCGCAAATCAGCATCATACCACTGCATGTACTCCAGGCAGCATTGGAGTCCAGCTTTGACTTGGATGCTGACGTCGAAGAAATTCCGTTGGGTCAACAAAAGCAAGTATTTGATGCTTCGGGCAACAGAATGTCTTTCAAAGGAGCGATCAGACTGACGCTGCAGACGAGCGACGGTAAGAAGCAGCGGATCGCTGCCTTTGCCATGGCTGGAGGAGACGGCATGTTGGTGCTTGGGACCAATGTACTGCGGCCACTTGGATATGACCTCACGCAGAGAAACTGCTCAGAGTTTGTGGCGCTACCTCCGATCAGGGTAGGCGAGGATGTTCCAGTAAATGAACGCGGAAAGAAAGCGAGATGTCGGAGGAGTAAACCACCATGTTCTCTTTCAGTTACTGCTGCAAAAAGGGTGTACATTCCTTAAGGACAGTCTAGATCGGTGCCGATCCGATGCAAGGATCTCACCCAAGGAGGAATTTTCTGGTCTATTTTCTGGTCTAAGGACCACTTACTTCCTGATGTTGTATGGGAATATGGAGAAAAGGCAGTTGAGGTGCCGGTAACAAACACCTTTGCAGGAGCAAAGATCTTCCGACTAGGAGAGGAGCTAGGGATCCTCCAACCCGCAAAAGTCGTGGAAGTCAAGCCGTATTCGGGAGACATGTTGGGGCGCACAGTGGAAGCTCCTACAGACCGAGAAGGCAGACTCATAGACAAGATCTCAAGATCGTCTGCTTGAAAGGGGCTGCAAACCGTTGCGGATGAGTTGAGTCGCGGTGCTACCCTCATTGAGGAAGTAAAAGATGAGGAGATCACCAATGAAATCATTGTAGCAGCGACAGTGGAAAAGACCGAGTGAACGAACTACGACAAGATCCCACGTATAGCAAGATCATAGGTAGCCTGGAAGTAGGGAATCTGGATGAGGAAATCATCATTCCAAAGATGTCCTACCTAGGCGTATAGAGAACGATACAGTTCGTAGGGTTGTGCCATCGTCCAAGAGAGGAGCAGTCTTTGAAGAGGCACTGTGCGGGACTGTTGTCCGGACATTTTAGCTCGAAAAAGCTGGTTAAGCAGCTGTCGAAGTGTCTGTTCTGGGAACCATGAAGCGAGACGTGACTCAATGCCCAGAAATGTCGAGAGTGTCTCTGTCACAACCATCGACATCCAATGATGCCTGCGCTAAAGACAATAGCATCTACTAAGCCATACGAACCGGTCGGAATAGACATTTTGGAGATGGAGCTGACGCCTTATGGAAATCGCTATATACTCAGCGTGGTGGATCACTTTTCAAAGTTTGCAGGTGCATACGCTATCCCCTCGGAAAGTGCAATGGTGGTAGCCAGAATATTTTTTGAAGGGTTGGTCGCCGAGGGAAGCCGTCAGCCAAAAGGTATCCTATCTGATCAGGGAGGTGAGTTCGATAACCGACTGATGCAAGAGCTCAAAACGCTGATGGGTTTAGACCATGTTTTTACGAAAGGGTACAATCCCAGAGAGAATGGTCTGACTGAAAGATTCAATCAGATGCTCATTCAGATGCTGAGGAAAAAGGTACCCACTGAGTGGGATAGAATGCTCCCGTTCTGCGTGCTGGCGTACAAGCGCATGATACAACGGGAGAGTCTCCCTTATACTTGCTGCACGGATTTGATTCTTACATTCCGCGGAACGCAGTGGCGCGTGAAGAATCTAGCAAGTATGTCGTGGATCTGGAGAGCTACGCGCAGGAAGTAGCAGCAGCCACGAAACTAGCTCGTCAGTATGCACGCGAGGAGTCTGATAAGATGCGGCGGAGGATGAAAGTCGCATATGATCGAAACAGACAGATATGCTTGAGGACACCGAAGGTCGGTGACCTAGTGTACATGAAGGCCCCTAGAGAGAAACAGGCCTCCCATCACCCGAAGCTTGTAAACCCGTGGGATGGCCCTTATCGCGTGATTGAAACGAGTGAAAAAAGCGCCTCATAAGCTGGAGAAAAGGGGTTCGAGACCCGGTTCGAGTACCTTTCGAAGTGCTGGTAAAGTTACCAGCGGAAGTGTCAAACGAACCTCTCGGGTCAACTACAAGACGGAGAAAGAGAGGGAGACCCAGGAAAAAAAAGATGACTCCAGTAATTCTGTCTTCGAAAGAGTGTTTTGTTTCAGGACGATAACTGCGATGGACGATCCGCTGCATTTGCTGCAGGAACGCAGCGTAGTCTCGATTCCAGAACAGGGGTTGTGGGGAGGCGAGCAAAATGTCTCCAGGAGGAATGTAAGCGAGAGCCTTTTGTCATTCCTGATACGAAACGGAAATGGTACAAGCTGGACGTGGCTTTTTAACAGATCGGGAGTCCTCAGAAGGGACGCTGACGTTAGGTTAGGAGGATTGGTCCCGCGGAAATAGGAGAGGTATGCTCGAGGGAAAACGCCACTAAGTCGTCGAAGGAGTCGCGGGCATGGAGTCGGACGACATTTTGTTGTGGCGGGGCATGTTATGATATTTTAGTCTTTCTACTCCTGTTAACTCTTTATCTTCGTTCATCACTTTCAGTTCCTGGGGACGTGAGCCGAATCAATCGATACGCGACTCGGAGGCTCGGCCAATCGACGCCTAGTTTCCCGCCAAGTGTGACTCAGCACTTCGAACGGACCAATGGCGAGCACTTGCGGTTCCGCTCCTTCGAGCTGCGTATATAAGGGCCGACTATAGCGAAGAAGAGTCAGTCTAACCCTAGCCAGAGCTGGAGAGTAGCGTCCTCGGAGCTACGGTTCGAATAAACAGTTGCATCAATCAGTTGTCGGTTCGCCTTCAACCCACGGAGCGGAGCAGCCCCCGTAACTCTAATGTGTCGACGAACATCGCCTCCTTCGGAGCTTGCAAGTCGAAATTGAGAGAAGTCACCCAATCTTCATTTCTGAGTACAGTAAGAGAATACGGGCTGTACTACGGAAATATTAATATCGATGCACCCTGAAAGAGGAATAAAAATATTTCCCGTTCTAATATGCCTGAAAGATATAGGGAGGACAGATGTGTTGGATTTCCTTCACTCTGAAACATTTTAATATTCCGAAATTAACAGAAGAAAGCCTTAATTCTTGACTCTTCTTAAAGACGAAATTAAGTTGATGTAAGTCTTAGATTGAAGTTCTCATCAACTAAGACTTACATCGATAGGCTCTGGAATGCTGGTTACAAATAGAAAAATTCAAACTGCTAACTAAATTTCGCAATCCAATAAGGAGCGGTCAGTGTTTGCCAGAAATGCAGAGGCGAACTGTGTTCAGGATGGACTCCATCGACTGGAGCGGAGAGTGGAGCTTGAAAGCAATCAAAAATGAATTCGCCGTTGATACCGTTCCTTCCTCGGCGTCTGTCCAGTACACTTTGTCATTATTAACCCGACTTATTCACCCAACGCAGATCGTGATCCAGAATTCATGTTTGATACAGCCTTCCACATTTTCGATTTTGAAACACTCAGAAGTCAAAGATGGAAACTACTACGATAAAAGAGGTCAAATAAATGAAAATGTTAAGAACATAAAGCGGCCCATCCCTAGTAACACTGCAGCGCGACTGCAACCAGGGCACATAATGCGTTGGAGATTTTGATCAGTCCGTCCAACTCCTTCCCCCCCCCCCTTCCAAAGAAAAGGAGATCGGTACTCCCCCCCTTTCTACGGCTTGCTCTATTTCGGCCATTTTACTGGCCTTTCTTATCTTTTATTGGCCTTCTTATTTGAGTGAGGGTGGAAGAAAACCACTAGTATGCTAAGAACTCCCTTTTCATTCTACACCTTACGGCGAGTAGGGGTGGGGGGGGCGGGCACGCAATCGTGTGTGCATGATCAAGGGCGAGGAGGGGGTGGGGGCAGGCACGCCATCGTTGTGATGATCACACAGGGGGTCGCATTGACCTCGAGGGAGGGGGGGGGTGGTCGTGGACGCAGGCCCTTCCGAAGTGAGGTGCAGCGATACCAGATGTCGTTCAGCTTCAATGATGAAAACTTCCCCATGTGAAGAACTCCTGAAGAGACACACACAAGACAGAAGCACCTGCCAGAGCAGAAGTGGGGAACGGGCAATGACAGGAAATACGATGGCCGCCCATCACGAACTCATGAATCAACGAGCAGATGAAAGTACACTTCCGACCTTTCCATCGCAGAAGCACATGTTCTTACACGGAGAAGCCCTTTCTAGAAGTTGCACCATCCAATACCTCCGCGTGAAGCGCCATGCATGGCGCATGCAGGGTGATGCCAATTGGCGCCCAATGAGCTATTTCTTATGATGCTCCTTGCGAAAACATGCGTTTTGAAGCATACCGAAGTCTTTCAGCCAGCTGGAGGTTGGCGTTGGAGGGGTTGTTTTTCGTGTCGTCTGCAGCGGTCGCGTTGTGATCACAACGGGGATCTTTTCGAAATAGTAGCTAAGGATGAAATGAGAACTCCTGCTCGAAATTCTGGCGCTTTTCTCTTTTTACGAAACGCTCTGTATGAAGCTTCCATGGTGTGTTCAAAGCGTAAAGACTTGTAGATGACCCCCCCCCTGAGTCAAGAGATGATCCCAACGAAGATCGCACTATTCAACTTACTCCCCAATTTCGCCAAAACAGGCGCATTTGAATCGACTTTTTTCTACGAAGCGGATTTGGCTGAAATTCGGGTTATAGAATTCGCACTCTGAGAATACGAATATAACATCTCATACTGGCCTGAAAGTGCATGGGCGCCCGCGCCACAGGCGCCCAGCGTATTGGGGCATTTGGCGCCGGCGCCCGTGTCGCGATCTCCGAGCAGTTTCAGGCGCGAGGGATTGTGATATTCCTTGTTCAGGAGGTCGAAACTACCCCAGGTTTTCAGCCGATTTGGTGATCCAGCGCCTGTGGTGCGGCCGCAGGCATTTTCCGGGAAGAACTGATGTGATATTCGTGTTCAGCAGTTCGGATTACCCTAGAACCCAACTTTCATCAAATCGTGCCCCGCAGAAAATGTCGATCAAGATCCAGCCGTTTTCGAAAACTGGCAGGTATGATAGTTGAATAGTGGCCGAACTTCTTGTAGAGTACTTTTTTTTTGGAATCGCTGAAACTCAGGTAACAAGTGCCAACCTAGTGCTCCACATTCCTGCTTTCCCTATCCAAAAGCTTGCTTTCCATATAAGTTATTAGTGTTCAAGTGATGGGTTATTTTCGAGGTTTGGCTTGTAACTGGCTCCGGTCGTAAAATAGCTCGCTCCAATACCTTTGAATGGGCGCGAACAACTAATATAAGAAATTCCCTAGTTCTGGATTCTAGCTCTCTGGTGAGCTGGTTTTTTTTTAGTTTTTGTTTCCTTAGTGTTTTTCAAGTTTCTTTTTAGTTTCTTTAGTATTTTTCTAGTTTGTTTCGAGTTCTTGCGGCACTATCGAACTATCCTACCCCAGTCTGCGAAATCAGGTCACTTTTTATCGTCTTTTTCTAGAAGGGCAGATTGGCTGAAAAACTTGCTTACGACAGTGTGTACCTCGACCTCGTAAACACGAATACCACGTCCGCTTCGCCCAAACGTTTAATCGATTTCAGAGGTATTTTGGTGCCGGTTATAGGCGCGGCGCCAAAATACCCTAAATCACAAAAAACGATCCAAACATGTATACAGGCTTAATTGACAGCCTGACCATAAATATGGCATTTATCCTTGGTGCCCAGCGTTAACATACGACATCTATCTACTGTCCCGCTTTGCTTAGAATTAGCC